TGATAAAGTTAAATCCCCTGTGTTATCCTTAGGGAAAATTAAGACTTCTTTTTTTTTACTTACTAATAAGACATTTTAAAACTTTGCGACAAAGTACAATCCTTTGACATACAGAAGTCTCAATAGTTATACTCAGTACACAACTCTCTTTATTAAAGCTGGGACTAGTGCACCATCTTCTGGTAAACTCGGGAAAGGCCTTAAAGGTTGACAGTTCAGAGGGGAAAGTATTTCTCTGTACAGTTTTGTGTCAGACTTGTTCTTACAGTGGGCTTGGAAAAAGGAACGCACGAAATCTATTAAAAAAAAAAAAGACTAATCGTATGCTAGGTTCAAATATGTAGCATCATCTGAACTATGGAAATGTTTGTTTATGGTGTTTTTCTCAAAAATTCTGTTTGAATTTAAAAGGCCAGTTACTAGAATTAAATAGCTATTTTTATATGTTTACATCTCATCAATTTATTTAGGGATTTATTAGATAATTTCTGTGTTTGTGTTTCGGGAAAAAGAAATAGGAAGACTGCAGGGACTTGGGTGCTCTTAATGCACCTGAGACAAAAGCAAATTTTTTGTCTGCTTGCCATCTGGCTGCTTTTATGTATTCACCAGCTGAATCAAAAATCCCTGTATATATCAGCACTGAGATTAATGTGAAACACACTCTGGACAGACAGCGTTAACTGGTTTCATGTACCCTCATGTACTGGCTGGTCACAATCCTGGAGAAACAACTTATCTTTTCACCAGGTGTAATAGCAAGGAAATCATAAAGCAGTCACCATATGGATAAAATTATGCTTGTGTTTATGAAGTGGCTTATTTCTTCTACAGAAATTGATGCCATAAAAGGTATAAATGCTTCATAACCGTAATAAAAGCAATGAAGTTATTTTGTCTTGTACATTTAGCACTGGCGGTTTTCAAACTGTGTGAAACTGAGAAGAAAAAGCAGAACACAATGGAGAAAAGGAAAATAGAGATAAAAGCAAAAAATATTGATTTGAATATCATTATTTTACAGCTGTAAACATAGGAGGCAGGTACGCATGCATTCTAAGAGCAGATTGTTGTGGTAGCTGGATAGCAGTAAATGGAAAGGATCGGTATTTATTCTAGCAGCTTCCAAAGTTGTGTCAGGTATTTCACAGAATGGAAGAGCATGTATGGTCCTTTGCAGAGCATTCAGCCATGGAAAATGGAATGAGAAGAGGAGAACAGAAGGGGATTTGCCAGCTCCAGAGCACAGAGAGTGTCGGTTAGCGCCCAGCATGATTTGGTACAAAGAGGGGGAGGATGGGGTGAGGCTGGAAAGGAGATTAAGGGTGGGGAAGGTGGAGGACATTTGTTTTATCTTTTTTTAAGGTAGAAAGAGAATCTAGAGGCTTTCAGATTAGGTCTTCCTTGTGAGTTAGCAACTTGGTGGTTAGAAGATTTTTTTTTCATCTAGAGATCAAAGAGGAAACGGACTTTGGGCAAGCATGTATTTGAATAGAACAGGCCTTACAAGTCGTTTGGGCGTGTTCCACACACAGTGCTGCATGAGAAGCTCCTAGCGACCATGTAAGCAGCAGGTGCACAGGGCGCAAGGTGGACATTATTAGTGAAGCTGTGGAATGGGTAGAGTATTGCAAGAGAACAAAGAGAGAAACAGAGAGCGGTGGCATAATGCAAAGTGCTGATGAAACATGATGTTTGGGCTAGGTGTGCTAACTCCTGGAACAACTGAATGTGCTTGGGGCAACCAACAAGAACAAACGTCTTGGCAATGCCATTGTGGATGGATAGAGGGAAATGAGCTGGGTGTTTACAGTGGATTTCCCCTCCCCTTGAGATCTCAAGGGAACTTCTTCTCTGACAATGGACTAGCTTACTGGAGTCTAGGAAGCTACTGCAGTACATATTGTTTAATTACCCGACAGCCTATCTTCATTTATGATATTCTTTTAGTATCTGCAGAGAGAAATAATACTTAACAGCCCTGCTCTATGCAGCATCAGTGCAGCGTCCTCATGAGATTCTGCCAAAATACCTGTACAAAGACTTACTACTGATTAGTTGGTGGGTGTCTTCTGGGTTTTTTGGTTTTACATCAGAAAGCTACTTCTAAATGCCAGCCTGCTGCTTTTCTTAGTAATTATGCCAGTTGGGAGTGATTCTGCAAGAAATCATAGAGTCATAGAATCACTAAGGTTGGAAAAGACCTCTAAGATCATTGAGTCCAGCCATCAGTCCAACACCACCATGCCCACTAAACCATGTCCCTATACACCACCACATCTACACGTCTTTTAAATACCTCCAGGGATGGTGACTCAACCCCTTCCCTGGGCAGCCTGTGCCAATGTTTAACCACTCAATAGCAGATATGTACAGTAGTAAAATAATTGAAGACCGGATTCAGGTATGATATTTTAAATGGTAATTCTGCTGGTGTAGAAAGAAATGCTGCTGGTATTGAAAAGACTAAATGTCAACACAATTTAAAAAACCAAAACAAAAAAAAAGTCACAAAATTAAGCAAGGAAAACATTCAGAAATAAAATAGGTTTCTGTTAATTTTCTTCTTAGGATAAGAACGTTTCAGAACAGAAGAGTGGGATGTGATGGTTTGCAGTCTGCTCGATATAAAAACGCTTTATTGACTCATATGAGTAGGTTGTCATCAAAGCTGTATCCATGCTTCAGAAAAGGATGGCTGACAATCACAGATTAGGAAAGGAAAAATCTCTTTCCAGCGTAGACTGTTAGAGGTGGCAGAATTTTCACAGGATTTTAGCTGTTCAGTCAGCAAGAGTATTGCACCGCAGCTCTGGAAAGCAGGGTCACTAGTTGTGGAAACTTGCTCAAATCTTATGAGTCTCTTGGTGAGAGAGAAATCCTGTTAAGTAAATGCATTTTAATTTCAACAGAGGATTTTGTAGAAGGAAAAGAGTAGTGTAAGAGTGTGTAAATGAAATAACCTGGATGTGCTGGAGAGCTGCTTGGAAAGACATGAGACCTGGTTCTTATTCATACTAAGGCCACTTTCCTCTAAGCTGATACTGAAAATGACCTTCAACATCTATAAAAATAACGTCGTCTTTTATAGGCACTTGCGCTTCCCGAGTACTGTTACTGTGTATTAGGTCATAATTTCCTGGTAGTTTATTTGCAAATCAGTGTTATTTTCTGAATGTTTCTCTATCCTTATAAGTAAGTGTACTAATTATTTCTACCTGGTTGTTTTTACAGTTCTGTTGTTCTCATTTATTCCATCACTAGGAATATTATAAGCGATAATATGCATATTCCTTTTGATGTTGATTAATAGCAGATTCAGAAGAATACTGGATTTTTATGTTAAACATAGCAGTGCCAGACAACCTGTGCCCTGAATATAAAGAATAAGAAAAGGATTAAGAGGTAGTCCACACAGATAAAAATTTCCATGTGAGTTTAGTCAGACCTCAAAACAGGGCATGTACACTTCAGAGTCTCCCTGAGATAGATGCATTCATTCTTTTCTTCTTGGTTCTCATTTCATCTTCTGTTGCTTTTTCTCTGAACTCCTTCCAGTCTATAGGCCTTGATAACAAGGGCCCCTCGAGGGTGAATGTAGGGTTTCAAGAATGTTTTGCCAGTTGTTTTGCGGCTGCTCCTTCACCATGCTTTGTCAGCTTATGTTTTCTGAAGTGCAATTATTGCACAGGAAATAACAAGACTGGAATTCTTCTGACTAAAGAGGGAGACATCGTTCTATATATAGCATCTCCAAACTGAGTTAAGCTTGAGTGTTCAGACACTTCAAAAAACAGCTGCTGTAAGAATCCAAGATGATGACAAGACACAGCAATACAAATAAATGTAAGACAACAATGTGAAGTTTAATAATTGATTTAATAAAACCCACAATAAAACAACACATTTCTGCTTTTTTCTTCAATTAACAAATGCGTAAATTATTACAATAAAAAACTCCAAATACAATACGTCTACTGTACTTCAACTTCTAATTACAGCAACTGTAAACCCCGATTTAATTAAAACCTATTTGAGTATTAGTGTGTGCAAAATACCTGTTGTTTGTTTGTGGTATTTTTTTTTCCAGTAAGTTTGTAAGGATGGGATGCACGTTCTTCATGAACTGTGATATGGCTTAATTAATGATAGTGTTTGTATTGAAGCATTAACTTCCCAAGTACAGTGCCACTTTGCCTCTGAGCGGTATGTGCTCCCATGCTGTACTCAAGTGTTCCCATTTCTTGCCAGAACAGATACAAACATAATCCAGTGTTAGGTGCACTTTGCCCAAATTAATACTGTGCTGTCAGTTTTCACCTCTAAAAATCCATCGTGTGACCCCTACCTCAAAAAAAGGGGAGAAAAGAAGCCAAGACTGTTACCACCAATTGCAGGTATAAATCAGCCTGATGAATATGTGAAACCCTAGCAAGTTTCAAAACAGACAATAGCTTAAGTATTCACAGCTGAATATCACAATATCCATCATTAGGCAAAAATTTTCCTTTCTGATCCACATACAGAACTACTTTTGATGTCAGTGGAAGTTCTGCATAAAGATCAAAGTACAGAATAAGAAAAAAATATTTGAAGCCAAGTTCTTACTGTCTTCTGAACTTTGCAGGTCATATTCTTGTTGCCCTTAGCTTCTTCAATGCAAATGACTTCAGAAGCAGGCATAAATCTGAGCTTGGAGGTGTATGATAGCTTAGGGTCAGGTTTTATTACCCTGTGTACATTCAAAGTACAGTGATTCTACCATGAGGCTAAGCAATTCAGTTTTGTGGACTTTGAGGATATAGTCTTTGAGAATAAATAGTCTTTTCAAAATTGCCTCATCCCTCTGTAAATAAGAAACGGCCTTTCTATCTCTGTAGGTTGTTATGATTTTGTTGTCCAGCACCATTAGGTTACTGAGCTTGCTTGGATTTTGCTTTATTCATAAAGCTAAGGAG